ACTGAGTTAAAAGCTACTGGATTCTGTGCAGAGGGAGAGGCAGGCAGCCTGCCTAGTTGGAGCGCAGAACAGTCAACAGGGACGTTCGTGTGGAATTGTGTTTCATCAACGTCAGACATTCATGCGGCAAACACACTGCACAGCTTCAAGCAAATGGCCAGGTGTGAAAGTCAAAGGGGAGCAGACATTTGTCGGCTGAAGGGTGGACTGCGCTAAGTCGGGGGGGCGGGGGCAGTTCGGGGGGGCTGGGGTCAGTCGGGGGGGGGGACTGCGGTCAGTCGGGTGAGCTGTCACAGTCAATGAAGGGACTTGTCCTATTCTAGTCCAGGCACTTGATGCTATCTGAGTCTGGGGATCTGTGTCCAAGATTGGGACAGGCTCACACTTGTAGGTCAAGCGGATACAGTCCAGGAATTACAGGCAGGTCAGTCAGGGAACTGTGGAGATGTCAGTCTGTGGCAATAAGGCAAAAGGAGGGATTGCGAGTGATGGATGAGCAGATAGTGGTGGTGAAACTTGAACAGAGCTGGTAAGGTGCCTCCACTGACTGAGGAAGAAGGACAAAGAGCAGGAGGATTTCCTTGTTTGGGAGGATGAGGTGGGTAAGACCTGTTGCTTAGACATGCTGTGTGCAATAATGAAAGCTGTCATTCTTGAGCCATGATGAGAGATGTGTGCAGTGACAGAGTTTGAGTGAGTCGTAGCCCGGTCAGTGTGAGGTAGCTGAGAAAAAAGTGGTAGCACTTGCCCCTTCGGAAAGCAGAAGGTCACTGACCTTTTCCCTGCACTGCCAGGCATCCCACTTCAGCTAGGACACAGCATTCATCCAGACTACATCTTGGGATCCAGGCTGACTGTATCTGGTGACATGGAGCTCTGGGGCAGTCATGTACCCTCCTCTCCATCACCCTGTCTCCAGGTCCCTATCAGCTAAGCAGGGAGTGAGCTCTCCTCTCCTTTGGGCCATGCCTTCAATGAGATGGCCAAGTAGCGCGGCCTGAGGAGTGGTTCCTGGCTCGCAATGTCTGAAATGAAGTGTAGATTAACTTTACATATGGTGCAGTGCCGAGATCCCAGCACAAGCCACATATGCCCCGAGAGAGACATTCAAGAGTCAAATTGTACAATTAGCGAGGGGTAGAGAAAAGTCATGGCAGACCAGAATAGAAGAAGAAGTAAACATGCCACATTGGACCCATAACAAGGGGTTATCTCAGAAATCAGAGAGCTGAGCTGGGAAGCACTTTTCCTTCTACAGGCTGGTCACTAACTGAATCAGAAAGTGCAAGCTGGCAGTCATAAACCCAGACACGGGCACTGGCAGTAAATGGGCAGTTATCACAAAACATGTGACTTGCAAGAAATGTCTTGCTTAAAAAAAAAACTACCCTTTCATTGACCTCTTTAAAAAAAACACAATCCAGGTATGCACAATCCTTCAAATTCACATCTTCAAAAGTGATTAAATACGAAGCTACTGTAACAGTAGAAACATATAATAAGGCCACTCAAACCCTCAAGCCTGAGCAATCTCTCAGGTAGCTCATGGCTTATCTGCATCTTAACTTCATGTACCTTCCTTGGATTATAGAACCCTTCACATCCTTGTCTCTAGCACTCTTAGTTTTAATTCTTAGTTCACTAAGCCCAATAGCTTTAAAGGGAGACAGTGTGGTCACCATTGGCACATTCTTATCAGATCAGTTACATACTCGAAAAAAAATCAACTATGTTTGTTATCGATGACTTGTGCCTTATGAATCTGGTCACAGAATCGCTAAAGTGTGGAAAGAAGTCATTCAGCCCATCGAGTCTGCACTGACCCTCCATAGCGCATCCCACCCACACCCTATCTCCACATTCCCCTTGCTTAATCCACCTAATCTGCACATTCATGGACACTATGGGGCAGTTTACCGTGGCCAATCCACCTAATCTGCACATTTTTGGATTGTGGGAGGAAACCCATCAGACACAGGCAGAATGTGCAAACTCCACACGGACAGTTGCTCAATGGTGGAATCGAACCCAGGTCCCTGGTGGTGTGAGGCAGCAGTGCTAACCACTGTGCACCATGCCACCCATGGTCAGCTCATGTTTGTTAAGTGTTCAGTCACTCTGTTCCTTGTAATAGATTCTAAGAGAATGGAATGATTCGCAGAACGTTTGTTTCCACTAGACCATCCAGAAGACATTTTTTAAAAAAATTATTCATCTATCTTCCTGATGTCAAAACAGCATTTGATAAGAGGACAATTTTCCCATCTCAATTCATGAGTGCAGAAAGAACCTCATTCCATATATCTACATAAACTGTTTCCTGAATGATTCTTTGCCACTAACTAAAAGGAGGCTAGATCTCAAATTAACCATATGGCATAGAAGCAGGCCATTCAGCCCATTATGTCTGTTCTGCCATTTAATGAGATCGTGACTGATCTGATAACCCTCAACTCCACTTTCCTGCCATTTCCCTACAACCATTGAATCTCTTACTGATTAAGCTCCGTCTCTCAGCCTTGATCACACTTATGACCTAACCTCGACAGCCCTCTGCAGTAAAGAATTCAGAATACTGAGAATACTGAGATACAGGCTATTAGACTAGACGGGATTGAGGTTCATAAGGAGGAGGTGTTAGCAATTCTGGAAGGTGTGAAAATAGATAAGTCCCCTGGGCCGGATGGGATTTATCCTAAGATTCTCTGGGAAGCTAGAGAGGAGATTGCAGAGCCTTTGGCTTTGATCTTTATGTCGTCATTGTCTACAGGAATAGAGCCAGAAGACTGGAGACTAGCAAATGTTGTCCCCTTGTTCAAGGAGGGGAGTAGAGACAACCCTGGTAATTATAGACCAGTGAGCCTTATTTTGGTTGTGGGTAAAGTGTTGGAAAGGATTATAAGAGATAGGATTTAAAATCATCTAGAAAGGAATAATTTGATTAGGGATAGTCAACACTGTTTTGTGAAGGGTAGGTCGTGCCTCACAGACCTTAGTGAGTTCTTTGAGAAGGTAACCAAACAGGTGGATGAGGGTAAAGCGGTTGATGTGGTGTATATGGATTTCAGTAAAGCGTTTGATAAAGTTCCCCATGGTAGGCTATTGCAGAAAATACGGAGGCATGGGATTGAGGGTGATTTAGCGGTTTGGATCAGAAATTGGCTAGCTGTAAGAAGACAGAGGGTGGTGGTTGATGGGAAATGTTCATCCTGGAGTTCAGTTACTAGTGGTGTACCTCAAGGGTCTGTTTTGGGGCCACTGCTGTGTGTCATTTTCATAAATGACCTGGATGAGGGCGTAGAAGGAGGGGTTAGTAAATTTGCGGATGACACCAAAGTCGGTGGAGTTGTGGATAGCACGGAAGGATGTTGCAGGTTACAGAGGGACATAGATAAGCTGCTGAGCTGGGCTGAGAGGTGGCAAATGGAGTTTAATGTGGAAAAGTGTGAGGTGATTCACTTTGGAAGGAGTAACAGGAATACAGAGTATTGGGCTAATGGTAAGATTCTTGGTAGTGTGAATGAGCAGAAAGATCTCGGTGTCCATGTGCATAGATCACTGAAAGTTGCCACCCAGGTTGATAGCGTTGTTAAGAAGGCGTACAGTGTGTTAGGTTTTATTGGTAGAGGGATTGAGTTTCAGAGCCATGAGGTCATGTTGCAGCTGTACAAAACTCTGGTGCGGCCGCACTTGGAGTATTGCGTACAGTTCTGGTCACCGCATTATAGGAAAGATGTGGAAGCATTGGAAAGGGTGCAGAGGAGATTTACCAGGATGTTGCCTGGTATGGAGGGAAGGTCTTATGAGGAAAGGCTGAGGGACTTGAGGCTGTGTTCATTGGAGAGAAGAAGGTTAAGAGGTGACTTAATAGAGACATACAAGATGATCAGAAGATTAGACAGGGTGGACAGTGGGAGCCTTTTTCCTCGGATGGTGATGGCTAGCACGAGGGGACATCGCTTTAAATTGAGGGGTGATAGATATAGGACAGATGTCAGAGGTAGGTTCTTTACTCAGAGAGTAGTAAGGGCGTGGAATGCCCTGCCTGCAAAAGCAGTAGACTCGCCAACTTTAAGGGCATTTAAATGGTCATTGGATAAACATATGGATGATAATGGAATAGTGTAGGTTAGATGGGCTTCAGATTGGTTTCACAGGTCGGCGCAACATCGAGGGCCAAAGGGCCTGTACTGCACTGTAATGTTCTATGTTCCATGTTCTAATAGGTTCACGATCCTCAGAGAAGAAATACCTCCTCATCGCTGTCTCAAATGTGTGACCCCTCATTCTGAGATTATGCGCGCTGGTCTTAGACGCTCCCAGAAAGGGAAACAACCTCTCTGCATTAAATTAATACATCACCGTCTTTTATTTGTTTGGATGTAGATGAATCTGTTTTGCTTTGGCATTTTCTGTTCATACTGAATAGAAAGTAAGTTTGAAAACAATCACTTCCTACAGTTGGCGACTTCTCTTGATAGGAACACATCTTTGTATTAGTGGTAGCATAAAATGTAGAGTTTCAACCGCACTGCAGATGGCCATAATAAGCAGCGCCTGAGCTCCAGGTTGACATTCAATGTGATACACATTTTTGGTGGGTTGTCCCCTCAACATACAGGGCTCACCATGTTATTGGCTCAGCCAATGGTGGCTCCAGCTCTAGAAGGTGCATTCAGGTAGTGGCCGCAGGTTGTTAACCAACCTCCAAATCCTTCTGATCCAAGGCAAAAGGTGTAAAAGTAAAACAAAAAAGGCTAGTTTGGAACTGAGGCTCCAATTACAGCACTTCTCAAGTTTAAAGTCAAAAATTCTGATGTAAACAAGTGAATTACATGATGGTGGTCAATCTACAATTTTTAATAGTGGTTTTCACAGAATAATCTCTGTGGATAGGTAATGATGATGTGAGTTTTCTGGGAGAATTAGAATCAGTGTTGCTGTAGTTTTAATATTCCCCAGCCCCTACCTTTTGTTCCTCTTTTACAATATGTACTCACCAGTCCAGCAGAGACAAGTGTAGCTCTTCACTCCTTCCAGACATGTCCCGTTGTTAACACACGGATTGGATGCGCACTCGGGGATGTCCATCTGGCAATTTGTGCCCATAAATCCTGTTTCAGTGCAGTTACACATGTAACTACAGAAACAAAATGGAGCATGTGAGTATTAACTTAATTTCAGCAAATAAAATGAAGAGACATACACTTTAAATGTCGATGGCAAGTCATTTTGAGGCGAACAACTGATTTTGTTCCTTATGAAAGAAGGCTGATGCTTTGGCAACAGTATCTCAATGTCCTCTTGCACTTTGTCACAGCTTTATATTCATGCTTTCAATTCCACTCATCAATTTTGTCAGATCCACCAATAAAGGAAATTTGATGGAGAGTGAGAAGTATATGAGCCAATTACCTGTGTTACTGGCTTACTGCTTATTGGCACAGGTCTGAAAGTAGGCCCTTCACTGACTTTTTAACTCATGAATAATGTGCAGAGTGTTGCAGGATATTTAACCTGCTTACAATTTAAATTCCATGACCCTTTTAAAATGCATTAGTCAACCTCTTTGTGAAATTGCGACAGTGAGTTTAATATTAAATATTCCCTGGAGATAAAAAAAAGATCAACTTTGAGTTAACTTGAGATAACTGTCAGTAAGTTAAGCAGGGCAACATCTGAAAGAAATTATCCATTATATATCTCATGCAATACGTTACAACTGTTGTAAAGCAAAGATCCAAACTTCCAGGCTTTTCAAAGATTTTCCGTATTAAAATGATCTGTGACTCTGCGTTAGGTTCCATTATTGAACAAATCACTTTTTAAAAGAATATAGCGGTATTTGAAGGTTGAACAGTCATCCTGTCCAAGATAAATACTGTCCAGAGTGCAATTTCACTTACAGCTGTGAAGATACATGTAGGATGTATGTGATCAGTCGAGAATGGTATATATTGATGAAATAAATGGTGCAATAATGTGATGATACCTACATCAATCAATACAAATGTAATTTCAGTGTGGTTCCAATCTCAAGTTGCTTTGACTGTATAGTATGCAATACTTCCTCTCCACATCCTAAGATTTTAGGCAATACAAAAATATACAATTCTTCTCCCTTATCCTTACCGCAAACCCCACACACCAGGGCCTCGTCATCACATGGGCTGCTACCACAACCAACCCATTGTCAGCCACTAACAGTCCCCATCAACAGCTATTGACTCTCCCAGGCTGATCTTTCCCTATTCCTTTGTCTGCCCAACTATTGTTCTCTATCTCTGGGTTTCACTTCTACCTATCGTTTACTCCTCTCCCCTCCCCCACCCCATCTTCAGCACATAAACGTGTTCCTAGCTACAATCAATTGTGAAGAAGGGTCACTGGACCCGAAATGTTAACTCTGCTTTCTCTTCACAGATGCTGCCAGACCTGTTGAGTTTTCCCAACAATTTCTGTGTTTATTTCCAGTATATGGAGTTCTGTGTTTTTTCTTGTTCAGTTATATCTACTTGATCGATTAAAATGCTCTCAAGCTTGTAATTTTCCGTGAAAACAGTGATAGCTGTACCTCTGGCCAATCTTCACCCCTTGTTATCCATTTGGCTCTGAAGACTATAGGTACCATGAACAATATAAGTTCTCCTTTGCCTAATTCTTCAGGGGAGAGACGTTAAATTTGGTAAAATGGGAATTTATAGATCCATATGAGACAAATTTTGACGCATTAATGAAGAATAATTCAATTTAATCATGTTGATTTTCTTTTAATGTGTTTGTGTCACATATATATATATATTTTGCTGTCCTTATTTTACACTTGAATATGCATGAAATTAAGTCATTAAACTAGGAATTAGAAAACAGCCTTGCATTATTTTTGCCAGGGTGAGAGAGCTCATGCATGATCCATGAATTGTTTTTGCAAGAACTATTTGTTTCCAAATATTCAGGAAATTAACAAGTAAAAGTTGAACAATTTTGACGGAAACTGTCCAAAAATTATTAATTAAATAATTTTTAAAAGCAAGTAGTGAGGAAGATTACCTATCATTCCACATATTATCAATATCAAAGCATGGTGAGGATTTCTTAGTAATTTTGATTTTTGGAATTAGCTTATTTCAAAATACTTCTTCAATTTTGTGACAAGTAGCAACCTTTCAAAGTCTTTCTGATATATTGGCAATAATTGCAACTTTCTTCTTTTGTTTTTCTATTTGTGGGTCAAATGCCAGTGATCGGTTTAGTCTTTTTGCCTCGTGCGTTAATCAGTACTCAGCCATTATAGTAAATTTTAACAGAGACAATTAGTTGGAAGTATTCTGTGAAATACCCTGTTTTATTTCATTTGTCAGCTTGCAACTTGTATTAGTTTGCAACCATCTCTCACTGTACCCATGAGCACATCAAAAGAGTTGGCTGCAAGGTGCAACTTTTGTAAGTTGCGAACTGTGCCGCCACCTAGGGGTAGAAATTAGAACACCAATTGAAAAGTCAAGATGTGACAAATTGCTAGGCTTTCTCATTTCCTTTCCCATTTTAAATTGAATTGCCGTCCCTTAATTCTACGGAGATTTCAATAACCAAGAGGGCAAGTAACTGACCTGTTCACTGGACCATATGACTTTAGCCAACTATAACGTGATATATTAGAGCAACCCTCTTTCCAACTTGCCCCTTCTTACTATTGGGAACTGACCGCTGCTAACTTTCCTGTTGCCATGGTTAAAGTTGAAATTTGTGCAGAAAACCAGAAGTGTAGTTTTAGTTGTTATTCCTAAATCAGAGTTGCCTCTGGTTTGCTGAGTAACTGCTGTAGTTGGCTTGATGCAGACATAACAATAGATCTGGGAACACAGATCCTGTATTTTGGAGACATCAAAAATGGAAACACATTGGTCTAAATTTTACAGTGGTAACAATGGCAAAACTGTCAGCTTTCACCATAATTATACCATTGAAATGGACAGCAACTTCTGGAGAATGCATATGCACAGAATAATATGGAAATGCAGAGATTGCTTTCAGTTGTTCCACAGTCATTTAGGCACCTGCAGACTGCAATCAATGGAAAACCTATTGAATTGATGAGGGCTCCGTTCTTATGCTTGGTCTTGCTGTAAAATCATTTGGAAAAGTTACACATTGTTAAATGTATACTGCTATGAACTTTATAATTACCATTAAACCACCTCACTGGATATGAGGAACTAATGTTATATTATATACTAAAATCAAATTTCATTATAATAAAGTTTCACATTTTTCTCAGCTCACTTTTACAAGTTTATCTTTATTTTGGCTTCAATGTTAATCAGATCATAACTAATTTTTCTATAAGAATATTTTACTTAAAGGTGAAGTATGTAAGTGCTTTTAACTTCCTGGTTTCCTTTGTGAACATTTCAATATGATTGGCTGCTGACCTGCTTGCTGCCATCATTGCTGCCACATTCCCTTTACTTAAAACCAGCTGTAACTACCACTGGGAAAGCAGGAAATGCAGGCCAAAGATTGTCGAAGCTTTGTGGCTGCTTTTATCAAGTCCACGAGTCAGCATCACCATGACTGCAAAATTTAGTCTGTTAGGCGTGTAAGATTATGACAGGTTTAACAGGCTAGATAAAAAGAAATGTATTTTCCCCCAAGAGCTGATGGTACAAGTACTGGGGGACACATGTTCAATGTTTTGGAAAAGTGAGATGGGAGGTGTGAAGAAGTATTTCTTTGTTGCTAGTGGCAATGTCCTGGAACTTGATGGCTGCGAGGGTCATAGTGACTTAATTGTGAATGATTTCAAAAGGAAATTGGACACACATCTCAAGAAAATACTGCAGGGCTGCAGGTGTAGAGCAGAGATATGGAACTAACTGGATTGTTGCACACAAAACTGCCATGCCCTCAATGTGTTACCATGATTTTATGACTTATCAACCAGATAGGGGGAAATTTGTAAACTATTGCATTTTAAGGAGACTGTTTCACCTGAGAGTTTTAATTGATAAGCCAGGAAGTGCATGTATCCTATAAAGTTGTTCTTTGGCAAATTTAAACATATTTCACATGTAATCTTGTTGATGAAGCTGCAGTTTCAAAGGGACACTATATTTACTTTTTTCCAACAATGTCAACTGTCCATAAAATGTCTCTCTTCAACTTCTCTTTTATAAATCTAACTGTTTTCTAAAGGCCTTTAAACTCAACATTACTATCAACTACAAATTTACCTTTAATAGTGAAAATTATTTAAGTTTCTCCACTTGGCCCACAGCATCAAAATCATTTTGGACAAAGAAACCAAAGATATTCTGAGTGATGGATTCTGCATCCCCAAGTCACCCCTTCTTCATAAGCTCTCTGCTAACTTTGTTGTTGAGCAATCCATTTTTGTTTTATTCATATCTTCTCATTGTTTCATTCACATTTGTGCTGTTCATTAACTATTGGTGCATCCAGAGCATCATTCTTTTACCTCACTCAGAGATAGAAAGAACTGCAGATGCTGGAGTCAGAGATAACACAGTGTGGAACTGGAGGAACACAGCAGGCCGGGCAGCATCAGAGAAGCAGGAAAGCTAATGTTTCGGGTCTGGACCCTTCTTCAGAAATGGGGGAGGGGGGATGGGGAAGGGGGCTCTGAAATAAATAGAGAGGAGTGGTGGGGCTGGGGAAGGTAGGTGGGATGGTGAAAGGTGAGCGCAGGTAGGCAGTGGTGGGGATTGGTCAGCGGGATGGATGGGGCAGATAGGTGGGAGAGAAGATGGAGAGTTTGTGTCAGGTCAAGGAGGCGGGGATACAGCCGGATGGCCTAGATAAGGAAGGAGCAGCGCCTCATATTCCACCTCAGGAGCCTACAGCCCAATGGTCTAAACATGGAATTCACCAGTTTTAAAATCTCCCCACCGCCTGGCCTCATCCCGTGATCAACCCTCCCTCTCATCCCTGCCTCCTTGACCAGACACAACCTGTCCATCTTCTCTCCCACCTATTTCCTCTTCCCACCTCACTGACCAATCCCCACCACTGCCTACCTGCACTCACCGATCACCATCCCACCTACCTTCCCCAGCCCCATCCCTCCTCTTTCTATTTATTTATGAGCTCCCTTCCCCCTCCCCATTTCTGATGAAGGGT